AGATTAATAAGTACTTTGCTACATTTGACAAAAATATTTTTTTTTATATATAGAAGAGGCAGCAAGCGAATATGTAAAAGGAAAAAAATAAAAAAATAAGGCTAACCAAAAATTGATTGATCAATCACAAGGTCAAATTGCGGTGTAAGAATCTCCACTACCCCATATCCTCCCGTGGATGTTGTAAAAGGCGACAATGGAAAAAATCAGGAGATGAGCAATAGCATATCTCTGATAACAATTTAAAAACAAAAAACTGTGGTTGAAAACTCGCCTGCTAAGCGTGGCATCTAAGGCAAATATGGCCGACTGCCCTGATGATAAGTGACTGAACTTTGGACATTCGCAATACCTGAGGACGTCCATCTGTGTTGCCAGCGCGTAGTATCGTGTCGGAAAATCTGATGACAGTAAGTTCCACAATATGGTCGTGAGGAAAGTAAAATTTCAAAAAACACGCAGTGGTTGGCACAGAAAACAAATTATCGACGGTCCGTTCGAGTATCTTGTTCTATCGGCAAAACAGTTTTCCTAAATATACGATCTTATTTTTAATCTTTATACTTTTATTTCACTTCATTTTTTGGATGTTTTTATAGCGAGCAGGAAATCAAAGTATTAAAAACGATAAGTTTTTATTCCTAACCGAGTTCATCAAAAGGAGAAGGTTCTATGGAATTGAATATTTTTATTCAACATAGATTACAAGTCTTATTCTTATTGAAAGTCATTTTTTACTTTTATCTCTGGATCAGATTAAAATCTCTGTCTTTGGTGCAGTTATTGAAATTATACAATAAAAACACAGGTTGTACTAACTTCTTACAAAACTTAAATAAGAAACAACTTGAATGCGACCAGGGGTTATTAGCAATCACGTATTTATTTTTATTACATTAACCCATAGATTAAAATATAATACAATTTCGAAATTTTAACATAAAATAACACGAGCCATAAATAAGTCACAAAATATCAATGACGCTATTCAGTGTTGCCACGAATGCAAAAATAAAGTTCCCCGTGGCTGAGATTTTTATATGTGAATGTATTGTTACTATATTTTATAATATTTTATATTAAACTTATTATAATATAACCTAATTCTATATTATTTAATGTTTTTTGTGTAGTATTGCTCAAATGACATAATTGCCATTTACTAGAGTTCCGTACCCAAAGAGTATCAACTGGACGCAAATCTCCACTATCGTTCCGTCTGTCTGTCGTGTCTGTATCTTATGAACCGTAATATGTAGATACTTGGAATTTTTATAGAATGTGTATTTATATTGCTGCTATAACAACATAAAATAAAAAAGAAAACAAGTAAGATATTAAAGGACCCAAAAAAAATCACGTTTCTTGTATGAAGACCATATAAGAAACGTAATTTTTTTCTGTATGTGATATGTATTTCGTTTACAGACTAAAGCGAAACCTGGATTAACACGAAATAAAATGATTCTGTGGGTATGGTGGTATTGAAAGTTTATCATGAGCTTTTACCGCCGGTCTATGTCTATAAATAATGTGACAAGCAAGAAATAGAAATAAGAAACGTCTGGCATTGATAATCAGAAAAGGTCTTTCATCATGATAACGCCAGATCACAAGATTAATTATCTGTTTGATACTTTCAATACACACTAACATTCCTAAAAATCCAGTATTTGCTTGAGTACTTAAAACTGGTTTAAAAGTTTTAGTCATTATTTTCTTTTGTTGCTTGTGTTCTTTAAAAGAAAGCTTTCTGGAGATTTTAATATTTAAGTTTATAATTTTTTTTCCATTATAAATGGGATGACTAAATCCATGTTCCTTCAAATCTTTGGTATTGAATATATCAAATAAAACTACTTGACGCATTTTTTTAATCAAAATCCCAAGATTTCTACAGCAACGTTTATTTTTTATTATTTTACTACCTACAAGATGGTAACAAATTATCGAACAGAATGGACCCATATATATTATAATTAAATGTAATAAAACTTTAAAACAAAAACGTCTTGAATTTGTATACAATATACGAAGAAACTTTTTCCCCAGTCTTATATACTAACTAAAAGTGTAACAAAATAGCACTTCATAACTTAGGGAATGATTCTGCCCGTCAACATGAATATTTTTTATTATGGGATCATCTTCGAAATTTTCAATTTATACGTGAAAGACCCATACTACAGCTATATTACTGGTATAGTTGTAGCACGAATGGGTCAGCTCGACCGGGAACGGACCACGCTCTCACATAATACCAGTGTAAAATAGGAGCTTAACGCTGCCGCGTTTCCTATGGTGAGTGTAGAGAACCGGAGACCCTTTTTACTGGAAACGAGGCATTCCATCTTAGTCCTCAGGGGTTGCAACGCATCTGCATTTTGATTCTTAACCGAGGATAGATGTATATGTCAATGGGACAAGCAGGTGGACTGAGTGCTCGTTTGTCACCCTGTTCCTATAAAAAATATCTCAAAGTCAGTTATTCCATACAAAATTTCGTACAAACTTCCTCAAAATATATGGAAGACCTGATTTTTCTTGCGATTAAGAAGATAGATCTATAGTAAAAGTTGTTCATATTGACACGTAGAATAGAAAGCCCTATTTTGATTACACCATATATATAACTATTTTTTTAAATAATTTGCGAATAGTAGTTAGACGTGTAAATAAAAAAATTAAACAGATAAAAAGGAGGCCTTATTATTTATATGTCATTTATTCAGAAGAAAAACCTATACATAATATACACAAATATATTGATACATTCGTATTTAATAAACTATTCATTTGTAAGTATTTCTGGAATACATTCATAACTATGAACTTAACTACTAAGCCATAGCATAAAATAAATTTTCCCATTAATCGGGTAATAGTGAAGCTGCTGGCATATACAATTTTTCACGCACACTAGCATCATGCAAATTGTCTTATACACACTACAATATTTAAGATGCCGCACACACGGAGCTGTTACTTGCAGGGAGCGCGGTATCTAGTCAGTGCGCGCGATGTCTTATTATTAATCTATGACATTAACCATTTGTATACAGTTTTTCTTTACTAAAATATTCAATATTTAATATGAATTACGGTCTACACAGTAGTCAAGAAACTGATATCACTAGCTTGTATTTGTTCCTGGTGTTTACAAAGTATATTACTATTTTATAATAACTACCTTCGTTTTTGTGAACACATATTAAATTTTCGTAAATATACATAGAATTCGAAGTAAATATATGTATGTCTTAATTTTTTCTCTGAGATACTCGTTTTGTTTATGGTTTTAAATAGCTCTTATGGCCTTCCTCTGCAAAACTAAAAAAAGTTTTTAAATTTTACCCGCAGCAAAATCCCATAGGACGTTATGCTATGGAAAAAACTGAAATAAACAAATTTAGCTGTCTCGACATTAGTGAGACTTTTAATATTTATTAGCTGCATAAGTCGCAAATGTATTTGATATCATGATTATCACCTGCAAAGGAAAGCAAGTCATTAATATAGATAATAAATAGGAATAGGACGGGTAATGATCCCTGAGGAACACTCTTTACATGTAATATGATATTCGACGCGTATATTTTAAAAAAATTAAAAACGTCGAACGAATTTACAGTCCCCATGACGCTTAGTCGCTACTGACTACATGTAATAGGCTTATAAGATGGTGATCATAAATTCGGTTGCTCCAATCCGTCTGAAACTTTTGTGTACTGGGGTTTTTGCAATCCTTTATAATGATATTGAGGCCGAATTGTTCGAGTCTGTAGCATAAGTTGGTTAACTTTGACTTGTTTAATTTGGCAAGATAGGCGTCAACAGCATTGGTTTGCAACCTGTCTAGGAGAAGGCTAACTCCAAAATCAAACCTGGAACTGTGTTTCGTAAGCCACAAGTAAGCTTCAAGCTGAAATAAGTAGTGCATTCCTCCAAACATCCGAGTCAAGGTGAGGCCATGCTGAGCATTGAGTGGCATCAGGGTGTAACATGATGTCAATCCGTCTGAAATGTTGGTGTACTGGGGTATTTGGAGTCTTCGAATATGATATTGAGGTCGAATTGCTCGAGTCTGTAGCATTGGGTGGTAAACTTTGACTGTCCAAAGGTCTGGTTAATGGTGCCATTAGACATATTACAGAAATCATATGGTCCTGCTTCAAGAGAGCACAAATGTATGATACTGACATACCATCCGTCCGTATAGATTTCGATAAAGACGGTGTTCATCTCATTTAATGCCGTTTATACTTAGGTTCGAAGCTATTCGCTGCTGGTCAAGCATACGTGGCCTTAAGTAGTGTAAAATCATTAGAAGGTCTGCTAACTATACTGTTCGAAATTCACCGACAAACGACCTTGCAATAATGATGCGTTGAATAAGATGATCAGACTGAGAAACCTGTCCAGCGATTACTAAAAATTGAAAAAATAAATTAAAAGTATGTCGCGAGATTAACCTGTGTAGGTAAACAGGATCTGATTGGTTTTAATTTTTAAAATTTTCAAACTAAGTAAATACGAATAAGTAGAAATTAGTAGAAACTTAAATATCGCGACAAACTTTTATATCATATATGATATAAAAGTGTAATGACGTTATAAGTTGATAGTAAAAATTTTAAAGGACAAGTTTATTATATTCCTTTTAGCGCATTTAAATAAAAGCTTATTTTAAAACAGTTTTTTTTACTTTTAATTTATTACATGTTGTATATTTGTGTCATTTGGTGTTGAGACAAGAAAGATTATTTTTTCGCCAAAAGGCATTTTTTAATTCAGCGTGACAACTCAGGCACTAAACTGTGGGTAATAGAACTTTATGTAGTTTTAATTTTGATATCGTAACAAATAGTGTATTATGTGATGTAAATAATTTACATCTAAAACATAACATAAATAATTGAAACAATAATAAAATATAGAATTCTATATAATATCACATTTTATCAAATTTTATATTTTTATTTACAGTCTCCTATTCTTTGCTAGGCATATACACACTGATACAGATTATCTCTCAAAGCGGCCACGGATTCATCAGTGGTCTTTCGAGCCCTTGTACAGCAAACAAAAAGTTTCTCACAAGATTGTTCGTTGTGACGACGAGCGTTTGTTAAACTTAGATCCAACTCGTACCCAAGAGAGACCGCCGCTTTAGACAGATCTTTGAGGCAAGCGCTTTCATTTGTTCTGTAAAGTTGAGGTAACTATGAGTGAATTTTTATTTAACAAATCGTTCACTTTCTACCAATTCTAAAATAAAAGAATCTATAATCACTTGGTTTATACTAGTATAAAAACTTTAATATAAATCAAATAAACCGGCTTGCAATAATCAATATGCTGATAAATTGTCACCTCTGAGAACCGATAAGTAAAATGGAGTAAAATGGAGCGCCGGTAATCATCACTCATCAAGTGAAAGGTATTTTACTGATATTCAATGCAAGTATTTTGTAAATTCGTAGTCCTTCCCCAGTTGACTCAACCCATTTGTGTTGCAAAGGAAACACAACTGCAGCATGATTCTACCACTGCTTTTAGCTGCATTTTTATTTCGCCTATCCAAATATTCTCCAAATGTTAAGCTACATAATTTTAATATGAAACTCAAGTTAAACTCAACCTATGACTAACTTTAAACAAAAAAGGCTAAAGATGCGTTTTCACATCTCGGGATTAATATATAATGCTTTATATTCTCTAATTATACTCTCTCTTGCCATCTGAATAGAACCCGTCAGTGCAGACACTGCTGTTTGGTGGCAGAAACAGGCAAGAGGAAACCCTTCTATCCTTAGCATCTAAAATAAATACGCTGCTTTTCACGAATAAAATACTAGAGTTCTAATGGAAATAAATCTCTCGTGCCATAACAAAAGTTTCCAATATTTTCAAATTGCTTACTTTTCTATTTCAATTCCATATTGTTCTTTTAAAGCGATTCTTCTTGTAGCGTTTTCCATCGCCATTTGCATATGATTACGTGTAATGGCTATCATTTCTTCAGCATACTTTCCCATTTTAGAAATTGAATTCCTCGCTTCCTCGGTACATTTGTAGACGTGGGCAATGTGCCGGCTAGCGATGGTACGCGCATAGCGTCGTTCTTCATCACACATTGCTGGATATATTATAAAAATAAAATGAAACATAACGATAATATTATCCAATTATGGCCAAACATTCATTGCTGAATATTGTTTACTTTATTTTAATTCTCTCTACATCTTATATTTACGCGAAGACTATACATTAAATGAAACTAACTTTTACGGATTTTATCGCGTTTAATTTCAAGCACCGACGTTCCGGGAAGTCTGCAGTGTATGAACATGTTCTAGATCGTGACCACCATTACATTAGATTTGATAGACCACAAATACTCGCAATAGAACACCGATTCCTACCAAGAATGTTTCGCGAGGCTATTGAAATTAAAAAATATCCTAATGTCAATAAATAAGATTGATGGGTGCTGCCAACAGCTTGGTATCCTATAATTAATAAAATTAAATCCAAACCCAAGCATACCACTGCAAGATTTCAAGATACTCTAAACTTAAGCTTCTGCGTAAATCGGACCAAAATTAATATACTTAAAAACTGAAGGTAGCCGGGCTAACTATAACATCGGGACGTCAAACAACTTAGTCCCCCCGCGAAACGTTGGGAATTAAAAAATTAAATTAAACACGATAAAATCCGAAAAAATTAGTTTCATTTAATTTCTCTATGTCTGTCACTTTCTATTGCTGTGTGGCAAAAAGAGAGAAGAGAACTTTAATCAATGCTTAAATTGACGTCGATTTTATAAGGCATAAAAATACACATACAATTGATACAGAAATACATATGCACAGACAATTGGATACAAAATTAGATCGAAAATCCAACTTTTGTGGTTTTACTTATTTTTGTTTACGTTGGATATAATAATTCAACTACATCAAAGACAAGGAAAATAGCACTGAATGGCAAAGTATGGAAATTATTCGTATTGAATAAAAGTAATTTTAGTTAAAAATATCTAAGCCCTGCTGCGACCATAATAATACTAAATATTTATTATTATATTTACCTCAACTTTGGGTTATATAATGTACGTAAGATAATAAAGATGGTCTATAAACCTAGAGCCAATAAGTTTTACATATTACAAAACACATTAATATCGAAATTAATAATTATGACTGATGCTTTAACTTTGATAAGTTACCTTAAAAATGTTATTTAAAATATATTGCAAAGTATAGTTATTAGTTTTTACGACTATTCACAATTTACTTTGTACCTGGAACGGCTAAATGATCTGCTAATTGAATCAAATCTTTATAAACCTTTTGCTTTTTGCGTAATGCGGCATTGACTTCATCTTTTAGCCACTGAAAACTACAATGGAAAAGTAGATCGATAGTCCATTAATTCGTAATTAACACTGTTGGGCATTTCCGAAAAAAAAAACACAAAAACAATAGCTAGCTAATCCTAACCTATAAAATAAAGCTTTGAAAACGATTACCTATCATAGAATCAAACAATCATTAAGATTACTTAGCAAATTCCTAAGATAATGAACGCGGGGTAATTCCGAAAAACCGAAAAGAGTTAAAAAAGCTGTTTCCACCGAAAAGTTAACTTTGCACGCGCACTATTGAGACTAGCTACCTGAAACGACTGAAGCGAGGGAGACAAATAAAATGTCGTCTAAAATAAAGTGATCAGAGCAAAAAATATTGCCTAGTTAAGTAATTTGTAAATATCGGAATTCCTCCATTTTCGTAATAACCCCAAAGCAGCTTACCCCAATTATACTGTGAAAAATACCGATAAGACATATATTTTTCAGACATACTAGCTATTTCAAGATATAAAAGTCTTTAAAATAATTAAAAGAATCAGGCGTTACTTTGCGGAATTGACAAAAAATTACTTTACGTACATCCGCTAGATAAAATAAAATGATGTGTCTTACCTAGTTTGAAGAGCTCAAATAAATAAAATTTAAGTGTCTTTTTTTTATAGGAGAGGGGGCAAACGGGCATGCGGCTCACCTGATGGTAAGTGACTACCGCCGCCCATAAACAACTGCAACACCAGGGAGGGAATTGCAGATGCGTTGCCGGCCTTTTAAAAAGGAGTACGCTCTTTTCTTGAAGGTCCCTAAGTCGTATCGGTCCGGAAAAATCGCTGATGGTAATCGATTCCACAAGGAAGTCGTGCGAGGAAGAAAACATCTTCTAAATCGCACAGTGGTGGACCGCCAATCATCCAGATGGTGTGGATGGTATCGGGAGTTCCGCCGCGATGTGCGTTCGTGAAATTTGGCGGCTGGGATTAATCCGAACAATTCCTCAGAGCACTCCCCATAGTAGATGCGAAAGAAAATGCAAAGGGATGCAACATCTCTCCGCAGTGCCAATGAATTGAGTCGGTCGTCAACGATTTGAGCCGCTCTGCGCTGGATGCGGTCAAGTGGAAGGAGCTGGCACTGGGGAGCCCCTGCCCAGAGATGGGAACAGTATTCCATGTGAGGCCGAACCTGCGCCTTGTAAAGTTGCAGGCGGTGTGCCGGCATGAAATACTGTCCCGCTCTGCTGAGCAAGCCAAGCTTTTTAGAGGCCAATTTGGCCTTGTCTTCCAAGAGACCACGAAACTGCACATCACTCGATATGTCAACTCCGAGGATACCGATACTGGCTGAGGCAAGAAGGGGAGTGCCTTGAAACTGAGGGGATACGACAAAGGGGTTCTTTTTAGCGGTTAACGCGCAAACTTGTGTCTTCTGAGGATTAAACTGGACTAGATTTAGTCGCCCCCAATCCGAGACTTTGTTCAGCAAAGACTCGACTTCAGACACAAGTTTGTTCCGGTACTCGGCGACGTTTTCCCGAGAAATATTGGCACGGCCGGTGTATAGAGCATCACCAGTGCTATCATCCGCATAGCAATCAATGTTACCAGTTAGCAACATATCATTGATATGCAGAAGAAACAGCGTTGGTGATAGCACACAGCCTTGTGGAACACCAGCTTTAATAGGCTTGTAGTCAGAACATGCACCGTCTACAACGACCTTGATGCTCCGATCTGCTAATATCAAAATTACAACGTTTTACTAAATGCATATGAAAGTATAAACAGTACTTATAACAAAAATACACTTTTTAAAATGTTTGTCTGTCTGTCCGTCTGTTTGTTCCGGCTAAACTCCGAAACGGCTGGACCGATTTTGACGGGACTTTCACGGGCAGATAGCCGATGTCTTAAGGAGTAACTTAGGTTACTTTTATTTTAGAAAAATAATTACGGTTCCTCGCTAAAAAACTAAAACCCGAACAGCTAGTTACAAAATAATAATGTCGGTACAAATCTCAGTGTTACGGCTTGATCTGCTGTTGACTGTACAAGTGTATATGTAAACCACGTTAAAACATTTTAAATTCATCAAATCATCAAATTTCAATTGTTTTACAAATAAATGATGGCATTCTTCGAAACGATTCCTTTCTCTATTATTAGGATGTATAGCTTATTTTAGCATTTTAAAATACACATTTTCTAACAAAACTAATTCATCGTCCGACGAGTAGATCAGAAGCGCTGGTAGATCGGCGCCGCCTACCAGCTTTCTTTCTGTATACGGCCTATTATTGTACTTATTTGTACCGCTGAGTACTTTGTTTGTACCCTATTTTTACTACGAGGAACAGGAACCGATAAGACATGTATTTTTCCTCGTATAAGAGACTTTGGCGTTCATTTGTATCCGTTTGTACCGCCGAGTATGTTGTTTGTACCTCAATTTTACTCCGAGAAATAACAACAAGACATGTATTTTTCAGATTTACCTGCTATTTTACGATATAAGAGACTTCAGTGAGTCAGATTCGGTTTTCCATCGTTTGTACCCGTTTGTACCGCCGAGAATGTTGTTTGCACCTCAATTCTACCGCAAGAAACTCCAATAAGACGCCGATCTTTCAGCCCTACCTGCTATTTCACGATATAAGAGACTTTGGCGAGGCGGATTTGATTTCCCATCGTTTGTACCCGTTTGTACCGGTGAATATATTCTTTGTACTTGTTCGTACCGCTGAGTACTTTGTTTGTACCCCAATTCTACTGCCATAAATACCGATTAATAAGGAATAAAGAAATGTTAAATTAGTACACCGTAATCATTGGTAGAATAAGAGATTAAATATTTTTGTTAAGATCTTTCTGTAATCATAATCTTAAATTAAATTTATATTAAATAAATATGGCGTATTTAATAAACATAGTATGAAAGTATAGCTGAAATAAATTAACACTACTGTTAATTTATTTCAGTTGCATTTAAGTAAGTGCTAGAAATAATAAAAAGACCACAATTATATAGAGATTATAACAGTGGTAGAGCCAGGCGGCAGCTTTTGCTGTCGCACGGATGGGCCGGCTCAAACCGGGGTAACCACGACCTCACAGAATACCAGCATGAAGTAGAGGTTTACCTCTGCGTTTCGCTTGGTGAGTGCAGGTGGCCGGAGGCCCTTTTTACTGGAAATGAGGCATACCATCCTAGTCCTCACGGGTGACAACGCATCTTCATTTTGATTCGCAAACGAGGATAAATGTAGATGACTATGGCCACAGCATGGCAACAGCAACCACTTACCATCAGGTGGACTGTGTGCTCGTTTGTCACCCTATCCTATAAAAAATTGTTCAAATTGTTGTAATCCATAAATACCTGCAACCAACATTAAACAAAGAAAGCTAGCTAAAGCGTATCTGTATACGCTGTCACCTTTGAGGACTAAGATGGAATGCCTCAAAGCCTATAATTGGACGTAGTTATGCAAGAAGGATTCAATCCGCGATAAGTTAATTTGAGTTTATGATATTTGAAGTATCCATACATTTCAAATATCATAAACTCAAATTATCGGTATGGTTTCTGTCTGTTTTCTTCTTATTTGTGTTACGTTTGCTAAAATTGTTACATCACATAATAGTATAGACCACAAACATTATTCTTCAAGTCAACAATTTTGACACAAACTCGGGTTGGATCCTTTTTGCATAACAACGTCCAATTGTACTAGACCTCTATACCCTTCAGGCCGGCACACAGCAGTGTAAGTATTGCTTTTTGGGGATAGAAATAGGTTAGAAGGACCTACTCAGACGGACTATTAGACAGAAGAAGCGCTCTGCCGCTAGTAAACTTAAAGCGTTTGCAAGTAACATGAAGTAGACTACCTACCTTCTTTTTCTTTCTCTGTACAAATTACTCATCTAAATATGCCTTTTTCTCAGCGGTTGGGGACATCGACCTGTTTTACAAAACATAGGTAAAACAGCCCAACTGCACTAATAAAATGATCTTCGCTATCCATGGTTCACAAAATCGCAATAAGACTAAAATATTTGGGAAAATTAAGTATAGAAGGAAAAGTAATGGGTTCGCAAATGAGTAGGGCGAATAAGATTGCATATTCGCCGATGGCCGCAAAACATTTTATTACTGTGTACATGTGTGTAACCAATGTTTTAAGCCTCAATTGTGTACGGCATGTAGTTCGTAGGTGTTCATATGTGTGCCACGGTTTTTCAAATTAGCAAATTTTAAGCAAAAATTAAGGCGTATGCTTTTTAAATATAATCTAAACAACAAAAGACAAAGTATAACGTGTTCCAGATAATCATTTAAGTAGTGAGGTCCCTGTAAAATAAATTTACATTTAAATTAGCTAAAGCACTTAACTATTCCCACAATACAAACTTCCTTTACTCTTCGGAGATAAAGTGTTAATTTGGAAAGGTTTTTAGCATAGACATAGCACTTAATATTTTATATTATAAAAGGAAAAAATTCTATTTGAATTTAATAACTTGTGTAAAAACAGGTCTAGAAAAGTAATTTTTCACAGTACACAGTTTTATACGTGGTAGAGCCGTGCTGCAGCTATATAAGTAGAATAGCTGTAGCACGAACGGGTCGGCTCAACCGGGGAAGAACCACGCTCTCACAGAGCACCAGTGTAAAATAGCAGCTTAATGCTGCTGTTTTTCGTATGGTGAGTGTAGAGAACCGAAAACCCCTTTTACTGGACACTGGGCATTCTATATTCGTCCTCACGGGTGACAACGCATCTGCATTTTGATTAGTAGTTGACAATGGATGTGTGGCGGATTGGGATTATTTTACTAGATATAGTGGACTGTATTGAGAATCTAAATCCCCTGAAACGTTCAGTTACCGCAGTCACAAAATCACACCAAAAACAGCAACAAACTACTCACGGTCTTACTAGCCAGCCTCCCAAGATCAGCAAACGTTGACAGCTCCTGGTAGCTTCTTCTACACGGTAGAATACACTAGCAATTAGATTGTACACGGTACACTCTGGAGTAGTCCCTTTTTTTAAGTTTTTGGAGAGATGTTCACATCACGAACACAAAGAGAATGTGTGTGGCTTGTCTCGCCTCCTACCCTCCTCTTCTCTTTTTTTTAACTCCACAGATTATTACAACGCATATTACGTCGCAATGTTGCCACTAGGTGTGACCGGCGCTCCGATCGTAGCAGATCATTGTGCCTCGGTATAAATTTTGTGAGTTGCGGTTTATTACTGAACACACCCCCCACCGAAACCATCTTGATGGTTTCTCCTAACTATATGAAAAAGATATTAGAGAAAATATTATAACTTAAGCTACGGAACATGCAAAATAACGCTGAGACACAGAATGTCCTCAACGAGAAAAAAAAATATTAATACACGTAAAAACTAATTTGAATAAGGTAGAGGACTCAGTTTATTAACTGGTCTCTGTAGAGTACTCTTTTGAGTGCGAAGCGTAACACAACGAACAATCCCATCTGGCCCGGGGTGAAGAGCCTCAATTCTACCCAAAGGCCAATTGCACGGCGGTACATTATCAGTTTTTATGATTACGAGATCACCTATTTTTATATTAGATCTATCCGAATGCCACTTTGCTTTCTGTTGCAGCGTATTTAGATATTCGTGACTCCATCTACGCCAAAACATTTGTGAACATTTTTGAATATATTGCCAACGTGATAATCGATTTATTGTTATATCCTCTACATTATACTCAGGTACTGCTGTTAACCCTTTTCCAATTAGAAAGTGTCCCGCAGTTAAAACGTTGAACTCATCAGGATTATCACTAGCTGGTAACGGACAAAGCGGCCGCGAGTTGAGAATCGCTTCTACTTTACAAAACACTGTTGTGAGTTCCTCAAACGTCAAACTTTTTTCTCCTACGGCTCGCGTTAATAGATACTTGGCGGATTTAATTCCAGCTTCCCAGAGCCCACCCATATGTGGTGCACCAGGGGGATTAAATCTCCATATAATTTGTCGTTTTGAGCAACCCTCTAATATATTGTTTTTTTGTTCGAGCATAAATCTTTGTACTTCGGTTAAATGCTTACTAGCAGCTATGAAATTAGTTCCGCAATCCGAATAAAGGAAGGAGCACACACCGCGTCGCGCTACAAATCTGTCTAAACACGCGAGGAAACAGTCCGATGACAACGACGATAAGACTTCAAGGTGTACAGCTTTTGTCGAATAACAAATAAATAATGCTAAATATGACCGTTCAACCCTAGCATTTCGTCGTAAACTTTCTTTTGTAAAGAACGGACCACCGAGGTCCACCCCTACATGCTCAAAAACATTACAAGGTATCAATCGGGCTGCTGGCAAAGGTGCCATCTCAGGCTGTAAGAGCACTGGGTTGTGTTTAAAACAAATTTTGCATTTGGACAAAACTGACCGAATAATGCGACGGGATGCTAAAATCCAAAAATTTTGATTAATAATGTTTTGTAAGGTGCGTGGACCTACGTGTAAATATTTTTTATGTAAATATTCAATAAGTAAAAAGGTAAATCTACTATTTTTAGGTAATAAACGAGGATGCTTCGCGTTATAAGGTAACGCTGAATAATTTATTCGACCCCCCACCCTGAGGTATCCGCGTTCGTCAATAAATGGAGATAATTTTCTCAACGACGGAACGTACTTTGTGCCCTTTGACAATCTATTTATTTCATTTGCGAAGTATGCACTTTGTACTAATTTAATTAAAACATCTTGGGCAGTATTTAATTCGTTAGTCGTCAGTATTGATTGCTTCGAGTGACCGGATTTGAGTCGGAACCATCTCAATATTCGAGCAAACGTACGTTGCAGTTTATAATAAGAAGAGAAATTGGAAAAGATTCGGTCACAGAACTCTAACTTAGTCTCCTCTATCGAATTATTTTCATTTGTGATTAAATTGAAGGAGCCTAATGTATGATTTGATTTCATTTCGGGTGTATTACTTTCATGTTGGTTGATAAATGTTCTCACTGGCCACTGCGAATAGTCGTCGTACAACCAAGATGGGCCCTTCAACCACTGCTCACTGCACTCCACGAGCTGTGACGGAGACGCTCCGCGCGAGCATATGTCTGCCATATTGCACTCACTACTCACGTGACGCCAACAGTGTGGAGGTAACACTTCACATACCTGAGTAACACGGTTACTAACAAACGGCTTTAATTTGTAAGCTTCTGTCTGAAGCCACGTCAACACGATAGTCGAATCGGTTAACGCAGTAATACGAGTAATTTTTACACGAGTTAAAATGTCACGGACATATCTAATTAATTTGCTTAACAAAACTGACGCCATTAATTCCAACCTCGGGATAGTTAATGGTTTGACGGGGGCTACTTTAGATTTTGCCGTCACCAGGCGTACTTTAGTTTGACCTCTATCGTTACGACTGATCACATACACACAACTAGCATAACCGCGAGAGCTTGCATCGCAAAAGGCGACCAATTCACATTCGGTCTGTTCTGGTAGCAGCATATGTCTATCTATCTTGATTGCCGTTAGTCGCGGGAGATCATCAACGTAATTAAGCCAGCGCTTAGTTACGTCAGTTGGCAGCTGCTCATCCCATCCTATGCCCAGCTTCCATAAATCTTGCATTATCTCTTTCGCGATGAAAATGCACGGTGAAATAAAACCCACGGGGTCGTAAATAGAAGCTAATAATTTTAAAACAGAACGTTTAGTTGTTACTTTATCAGTCTTATCTACTGTGAAATAAAAACAGTCAGTCAAAGGGAACCATTTCAGACCTAGCACTTTGACTGAATATTCGTTACCATCTTTCATAAATGTAACAGGACACTCTCGGTTTTCTAACGGAACGCGTTGTAAAACTTTTGCACTATTACTCGCCCACCTTTTGAGTATAAAGCCACCGGAATTAAACATCTCTAAAAGTTCATCTTGTAACCGAGATATCTGTGACAATGAACTACAAGAATATAGAATGTCATCCATGTACACGCCCTCGCGCACAACCTTTGCAGCGAGTGGGAAACGTTCTTCCTCGTCATAGGCTAACTGTAAGAGGGTGCGGATAGCTAAGAACGGTGAGCAACTTAAGCCGTAAGTGACAGTTTTTAATTCATAAACGTCAATGGCATCGTTAGGCGAATGACGATACAAAATATGTTGATAACATCTATCTGACTGATTCAGTTTAATTGCCCGATACATTTTGCATACGTCACAAATCAAACAATATTCAAACAACCTAAAATTCAATATTATAGCCCCAATATCTCGATACAGATTAGGCCCGGTCAATAGAATATCATTAAGCGAAACGTTCGTGGACGTTTTAGCCGAGGCATCGAATACCACACGCAAAGGAGTAGTGGAACTACTGGGCTTAAGTATACTGTGATGAGGTATCACATATTTGCTCGGGGTGTCCCCCGAATAAAGCTCCATGTGCCCTAGATTTTCATATTCGCACATGAACTCTGAATAGGCTTGTCGTAATACAGGTGAACGATTCAACTTGCGCTCGGTGAACAAGAGTCGCCGCTCGGCTGCCGCTCGTGACGCGCCCAACGGAGGCGGGTCTGGTATGAATGGTAACGGCACTGAATAGGTACCATCCTCAGTACGACTATAACGAGCCACGAAAATGTCTTCCGCTAATTGTTCCAAAGGATTAATCGAGGGTTTGCTTGGCAATTCTTCGATTTCCCAAAACTTACGCAACGTTTGATCTAAAGACTCTTGTTCATCAAATGAGACTGATAAATTATAATTTTTTAAATTGTCCTTATCATTGCTATAAAGTTTACCACTTACAACAAACCCGAAAGCGGTATCGATCACGCTTGGTATATCCGATGAAATAATATAAGGTTTATCCTTAATAAGTTCCGAAACTATATCATTGCCCAATAGTATATCGATACGCGAACGCTTATAAAATAATGGATCAGCTAAATTAAAATTCTTATATTTATTAATAACGTCCGAGTGGAATCGAACGTTAGGCATATCAGCAGATACCTTAGTCACTACGACCATGTTCAGTGTAAAACTAGGTAGGTCAGTGTGTAGGGACCTTAATGTGCATGTAATCATGCCGTGATTTTTTACAGCCTCTCCACCGAGACCATAAATATTAAACGAACACTTCTTTCGAGGTAAGCCCAAACGTTGAGCACACTCAGTTGTAATAAATGAGCTCTGAGCTCCAGAGTCAATAACTGCACGGCAGTATTGAAGCTGGCCGCTACTATCAATTACTAACACGCGCGCCGTTCCCAATACAACACCGTAACCCGAGTGAGCGTTATTGGAATGAAGCGTATCTATCGTATAACGCTCTGAGTCACTCATAGCCTGAGACGAGACGAGTGCTTGATGCACTTGCGAGTCAGAGCACAATGGACGGGTGGATGTTGGCACGAGCGTGTCGCTCACTGGCTCCCTATGCAGTAGATAATGATGTAGTGACGCACATACACCACAAGACATCTCACTTTTACAAGTTGAGGTATCATGATTTCCTTTTAGGCAATTATGACACAATTTTAAGGTATTGACACGGTCAATCCTTTTATCTACGGTCAATTTACGAAATTGATCGCACCTATAAATCATGTGATTTTGATTGCAATGCGCGCAAATTATTTTTTTATTTTTATTATAATTTGACACATTAGTATTTAAAACTGTCTTTGAATAACTTTTGTAGTGGTTATTATTGTTGCCTTTGTAATTGTTACATATAGACTTATTTCTTGATTGTAACGACATCGTACTATTCGATGAATGTTCGAGTACTTTAACTTGTTTATTTACAAAACTAATTAATTCCGAAAAAGATGGAAGTGAATTTTGATCCCGATTTTCTTCAAAAAGCCTCCTAGTATGCGCATCCAACCCACGTAAGGCTAAATGACAAAATAAATAGTCATGTAAATTTTTAATTTTTAATGCCTCGATGGCTTTAAAAGAGTGATCGAATGTTTCGATAAATAAAGTAAGATTTGCGGTAGTATCTTTATTTAACGGCGTAAAGTTTATCATTTTGTCGATGTACCTACCCACGAGTATTCGATCATCTTGATATTTATTACATAAACTTTGCCATACGACAGTATAATTAGCGGCTGTTATGGGCAATTTTTTAACAATGTTTAATGCCGAACCTTTAACACATGAAAGCAAATAGTGAAACTTATCTATTTCATCGAAATCTCGATTGTGGACAAGTGATACAAATGTATCGTAGAATGTGGTCCACTTCTCAATATCACCATCGAATTCAAATAAACGTAATTTAGGTAATGACGGCCTTACATCACTCCTATCTTTCCTACTGAGGGATGCCTCCTCGTCCGGTTTTAATCTTAAATATTGCAACCTACATGCCTTATAAAGTTCATCAAATGTATCTAATTCTCGCGTTGACAATCTTGTCTCCGGTTTTAATGATATATCTATTTCAATAATATTTAACACTGTTTCTTCAAACTTTGAGCGGACACTTTCTAATTCGGAATAATCGGCTAAGAAATTCTGAATTTGTGTGGGATCATTTATTTGGGATCTCGCGATATCGAAAACCTTTTGTAATTTAGCAAATAGGTATTCCTTTTTAAAAATAAGTGTTTGCCTTTTTATTTGTAATTTATCCGACATTATGAACAAATTACAAAATTAATACTTTATAAACGCACCGCGAGCAATGGACATCCAGGTAAAAAAGAGGCAAATTAAATAAGGGATATTAAATTAATTAAATGCGTAGTTTTACTCAAATATATGACGTCCACGGGACGCGAATTAAGGGTAGAAAATTATTATTCGAAGATCACTAATTCGAATATATGCGGCTCGAAGGCCAGAAATGTGGCGGATTGGGATTATTTTACTAGATATAGTGGACTGTATTGAGAATCTAAATCCCCTGAAACGTTCAGTTACCGCAGTCACAAAATCACACCAAAAACAGCAACAAACTACTCACGGTCTTACTAGCCAGCCTCCCAAGATCAGCAAACGTTGACAGCTCCTGGTAGCTTCTTCTACACGGTAGAATACACTAGCAATTAGATTGTACACGGTACACTCTGGAGTAGTCCCTTTTTTTAAGTTTTTGGAGAGATGTTCACATCACGAACACAAAGAGAATGTGTGTGGCTTGTCTCGCCTCCTACCCTCCTCTTCTCTTTTTTTTAACTCCACAGATTATTACAACGCATATTACGTCGCAATGTTGCCACTAGGTGTGACCGGCGCTCCGATCGTAGCAGATCATTGTGCCTCGGTATAAATTTTGTGTATAATTTTTATTACTGAACAGGATGTAAATATCCATGTGCCACAGAAACTACTTAATGGTAGATTGTGTGCTCGTTTGTCACCCTTAACCCATAAAAAAAGTCAGAATGACACAAAGTTTTGTGGTTGGGGGTGGCCTATGTTCAGCAATGAATGTAATGATAATGATGATAATGACGATGACGGTGATGATGGTCCGAATAATAATTGAAATAATTATGATTGCAGTTAATAATGTCAAAAATACCAAAGCACCTTACGTCTTAGAACCTGTTTTAATTACTTGTGGATATATGAGGATAATATAATATAATATATCATATTATCAAGCAATCAACACCCCATTTGCATTCCATGAGTGCTGTAAGAGAGGAATATGATGTATGGCGGAAATAAGCTGATCTCGCGAGCTACAAGTGACAGTGAAATATGTAAGATGTCAGGTCTCAAAAGCTTAGCGATTATGGCAAATGCGTCCAATCGTGACTTATGTTCTCTATATGATCATTCATTCATTTATTTTTATTTATTACAGTTAATCAAAGTTCACTGTTCAACATACGTACTCACCATAGATTTCATCATAGTAGGGATATTAGAAACAGTTGCCAAGCTTGGCTGGTCGGCTTTAAATTACTATGAGCTCTTAATACAAATATGCTGCTACCATATTATATATTTGTTGTATTTTTTTTGACAGAAGGCCTTAAAGTCAATGCCACAATAAAGTAAATAATATTAATGTACCTATAAAAACTAAACAACAAACATTGATCATGACCTGTAATGAACCTAGTGAGGATAATAGTCTAGGTGATAGTCATGAATTTATTGTATTGTTGTCGGATATTAATTCCTCCGCAAATTTTCAGATTATTCAGACGTTCGGAAGTGGGTAAAAATTTAACTAAATTATTTTATTTTATCCTGGTGATTCTGACCAGGATAGGATAAAGTTATTAAATTATTGTATTAATATTGGTCCGTGACACGAGTGTAAATTTTCAAGTCAATCGACTGTCTACATGTAGGTGAAAATTACATTAAAAGATTCCGTTACATAGATAAACGTGAAACTAATAAAATTATAAACAAGTTGAACCCACCAACATGATATGGCTAGACAATGAAATAATGTGATGTAAATTGTTGCTTTTGCAGAGCTTCTATTGCGGGTCGCATGTGTCTACAGGCAATTGTATCATTATCTTAAGTACGAGACACAACGTACATATACAGCGTACATAATTTAGACAACAACAGAAGTATAATGTATTTTTGTCTTTTTTATCGCTTCTCAGGCAGCAGCAAAGTGTGGGGCCAGG